TTGACTGAATTTTAGTATGACTTCCAGGATATTTCTTATCCCATTCAATCTTGCTTCTATGGTAAATTTCCTCTAGAATCCTTTCAGTCATCAGTGCCATATTGGTCTGAGGTTTCTTCTCCTTTTTGAAGCTGGGGACCATATTTGCTCTCCTCCAGTTCTCTGAAATGCTACCAGTTTTCTAGAATTTCTCAAATATAATGCATACACCATCAGCTAGATCTTTCAGTACCTTGGTCAGGTGATTTAAGCTCAAACCAGAGCTAATTTGGTCTAGTGGTCAAGGTGATGGACTAGAAGGAAGGAAATCTGAGTTCTTCATCTGCCCTAGGCATGACAGCCAATTGGATGCCTTTGGACCTGTTATTCTCTTTCAGCATTAGGCAACGATAATTGCAAACTACTTTTTAATATGTCTAGAAAACTGCATGGGCTTGTCCATGTAGTCTCCAGGAGTCAAGTTTGATTCAAAGACAAAAAGGAGAGACATTTCTTGACCATGCTTCAGTCTGAAGCTTCAATTCTGTCTCTTCATCTTATTCTTCACAATGTCCTGGTGGACATTTTTTTTAATTAGAGAAGACTGAACCAAAATAGAAATAGGTCTTCCTTTTCATTATTAATTATGAATATTTTGACTTCTTCATTAAGCAGCTGGGTTCATTTATTTTTTTGTAAATTCCCCCCAATTTAAGTATCAGACATATTCTCTTATACCAATTCTTTTCTTTTCCTTCAACTTTTCTGCACACAGCCACCAGATGCATTGAAATGGTTATAGCGGTGCCATTATCCAAGATCAAAGCAACTTTGGACTATCCCTAAATAGGATCTGTCTTAGGACACATTATGCCACTGCAGCCTGTGAGGCCCTGAGCTACTTGGGACCAGGTTCCCTGATTGACCTGCTCTGTAATAATGAAGATGGTCTATTGTTAGGCCCTTGGAGAAGTCCTATTGCATATTCCTAGAACTGTAGGGTGCCATTTTTGTGGTCACTTATGGACAGGCTTTTCTGTGGTGGGATCTATGTCCTTGAAGGACCCATGCTCTGAAATCTGCATAATGCTTTCATACCTACTCAAGACTCCTCTGTCACCAAGGGCTTTGGATGAACATGGAACGAACATTATGCCTTCATTTTCCTTTCCTACCACTTTTTACTGTTCATATATTTGTGGGAAATATATTTGTATATTTACTCTGTGCACAGGCACCCATACATAGACACCCATATGTACATATATACACCAACACGTGCATACATTTTTAGTTTATTGTTATTATGTATTTGACATTTTGTATAAATGCATAAATCACTTGGAATTATTTTTGTATAGGAAATGGCATAAATATATTAATATATTATGTATTAATGGTAATATATTAATACATTATTGAGATTTTCATGCCATTCCTTCTCAACATGTTGGCCTTTATATGATAAATAAAGGATATATTCAATGCTTTGATAAAATATTTTATTAATATTAATCAAGATACAAAAATATCAACTTTAATGGCTAAGTGATGTCTTTACTTACAGAATTATTATAAAGTCAGAGCCATAGTTTTAATACATTTCCAAGTGTCACATCAATAAGCAACTTCTATTGGAAAGTATCAAGGAAAACAAACCACTATTATTTACAGCACTTAAAAAAATGGAGTGACTCTGTGAATAATGAATTTGCAAAAATTAACGAGATTTCTTTCACTGGTGGGCCAACATTCATGAATTAATAATATTCCCATCAAGATGGAAATGTTTTGTTTTGTTTTTTAATATGGCAAAGTATATATGAATCAACCCTTCCTGGCAATAACCTACTCTAATTTCTAAACTAACAGGAGTCAAATATTTTTTGCTTCAAATGACAGTACAGTCTTTTAAAAACACTTTCCCTCTCTGTTGCCTAAGCAGGTATGTAGTAGCAATTAAGAAAAACAATAAATTAAAAGATTTTTCTTTAAAAAAAATAAAACTTAAACAATCTATGGAGGACAAGTTCCACCCTTAAGACATGTCAATGCATTTGAAACAATGAATTATACTTTTAACCTTAAACAAAATCTCCTGTATAGCCCCTCAAATGGGCCCAGGTTTGGAAAGAAGCTGTACAATTGTTGGTTATAATTTTCTCTGCCAGGGAAAAGAGAGAAATTGCCTTTTTCATAGGAAAATGTTCCATCAGTCATCCAGGTATGACCAAAAAAAAAAAAAAAACTTATTAAAGACATGGGTGCAGGTTTTAATTGCAATCCTTGCATCATGCTGAAGAATCATGGTGCTAAAGCAAATATGGACATGAATAAATGAAATATCATCTGTTTCTTTTGCTTTCAGGTACTATCTCTACAAAAAGCTTAGGGGTAAGGAACGATAAAGAGGCTCATTTTTACATCATCTGATTCTTTCTCATTCACATGGGAAGACTTGGAACAAAGCTAGAGGTGGTTCAGGAGGCCACCAAGAGGTTCACAGACAACCAGGTCTAAGATACGGTATTTTTTATTGTCCCCAATGCTCTTTCATTAATGAATATTGACCTTGCAACTTCGGGATAGCAGCTTGGCAGAGGGGAGAAGCCTCTTCAAAGAAAGAATAATTGCTGATGGGTAAAAGAAAAATAGCAGGACATGCCTTCTTTATCCCATCTAACGTGGCCCACAGAAAAAGAAACAATGATAATACTACTTTTGCAAGCCAAACAAAGGAGCATTTTGATTGGTTTTTCTCAAACAGCTGCTGACCCCCAATATTTCTGAAAGGGAGGGCAGTTTTAAAATGACTTCACTATGTGGCTGTGGGTTGTTTAAAGAAAAGCAGGAGAATTCTAGAGTCCAAGCTAGGAATACACCAGAGGTGATTTTGAAGCCCTATCTGTAATTTGCAGAAACCAGGCATGATAATTCTTATGGCGTTCTTATAGAACGTTCTTCTTCTTCTCTAGCATGACCCAGGAACACATGATAGCCTGCAAGAGTTAGTGATGACGTTTGCAACTGACAGGAAGACATTGAAATAATGTATACTTTGGATTCCAACATTAGATGCTTTTGAACATTTCTGGGCCTCAGCTGCCTGAACTGAGAAAGTTCACAATAATCTATTCATCACAGATTAATTCACCACCATCTCTCTCTCTCTCTCTCTCTGTGTGTGTGTATACACACAGAATCCCTGCGATCTCCAGAACACATATTACATTTCTCCACATGACAGTATACTAGAAGATGAACAGGACAGGAAAAATAACCCATGAAAATGAATTCCAGAAGATGATCTGATGGACCAGGAATTTCAGAAGTAGTCAATTCTGAATTATGCACTCTATACAACTCATTCTAATGAGACCCAGTTCATAGCAAATATTTTAAGAAGCCTTACACATCATGTAATAATACCCCTATACATATTTTATATATAAATTCATATTGTCTTCTGCCCAGCAGAAGCTTATAATATTTTAGAATAATTTTTATTACACCAAACAGAATGCCTGCATACATAATACAAAATGCCTGCACATATTACAGAGAGTACATCAACCTTGAAAAAAAATGCAAAATGAATTACATTTATAGTGTCATGAATATTCTTTTCATGTACATAATACAAATATATACAATTGAAGAGGGATAGAAAAGCAGAGAGGGAAAACATTTGCCAAATAGCCTACAATTTGGAAAAGTGACATTAATTTATCCCGGCTAAAAAAACTGGCTAAAACCAAGATTCTTGGTGCACAAGTTATTTCTTGCCTTGGATTATACCCCAGTTCAGAGCTAAGTTTACACTGAAGTATTAGAAACATTAATTTCACAACTCCTACCCCATTTTGCATTTGAGGTATTTTAGTTCACTGTTTTCATAAAATTCTGAATATGTCACAACATCATGAATTACAAGTCCTTTGAACAAAGGCCAGGAGAAATATGCAAAACCCTTATATAGTTCTTTAGTTGATTTTTGTCTCATTGTTCTGATATTAGGAAGATGATATAATAGAACATCCATATACTAGGAACTGGTGGAGTACGTATGACTGTACTGGAAAATATGGAACGCTTCACACATTACATGTAGAAGTGTATACTTAGAATATATTTAAAATGTGAAGGCAAGAAGGACATGTTTGGAAATCCATGTATTAAACAGATACATCCACTAAAGAACTAAGGTTAGCTATGACTCTCTTTCAATTTACACTTGGTGTCACATTCGTTTGCTTCTGTACTATAAACATCTGTGTGCTTCTAAAATCTGAAAACAGTCTTTCAGGATGTGATTGCAAATAGACATAAATATACTGAAGAAGACGCATCATAGTTCTTTCAAACTACAAAATGGATGTCTTTATCATATTAAAAAAATAGGGTCCAATATCTGACAGTTTTTTGTTTTGTTTAGATTTTTTTATCCCACCTTTATTATTTTTATAAATAACTCAGGGCAGCAAACATGCCTTAATACTCCTTCCTCCTCCTATTTTCCGCACAACAGCAACCCTGTAAGGGAAGTTGGGGTGAGAGAGAGTGACTGGTCCAAAGTCACCCAGCCAGCTTTTGATGAGAATCCACATATTTAAACCTTTTATCTTGAAAAACTAAAGCTGTAAAGTGCAAAGGTTCATATAGTATCCTTTAGAAGGGACTTACTGTGGTTTACGGGTAAGACATACTCCTATTTTTATAAAATCAGAATCTTGCATGTTGAAGGAATGGTAATTCCTAATAAAAAATAAACTTTGATCTAGTTATTTTCCTTGCCTAAAGACAAATCAACAAACATCAAACCAGGAGGAACTAAAAGAAATCCTAGGAGCTCTCATCAGATTCTGAGTTCTCAGTAAAAAAAAGGTCCGAGTATTTTATTTTATTTTATTTTATTTTATTTTATTTTATTTTATTATTTTATTTTATTTTATTTTATTTTATTTTATTTTATTTTATTTTATTTTATTTTATTTTATTTTATTTTATTTTATTTTCTGGGATTGAAATTACCTGCTCCATGATGTGTGTTGGAAACATGACTGTAAAATAAAGGTTTAATTTAATTTTCATTCTTGATCTGCTGGAATTTTATATGGACAGCACATAAGAGGTGTTAATGCTCTTGCCATTTCTATGGCATAACTGAAATTTCCATCTCTAATATTATGTAATGGAATGATCAGCAGTTTAGAAAACTCTCTACCATCCCCTGCTTTTTCTCCACCCCCAAATCCTAGATCTATCCTTAGATTTAGAACCTCATGTAGGTCTGGCAAACATGCAGGAGTGGAGGAACGAATGAATGAATGAATGAACTAATCTTTATTACAGCCAAAGGTCAGAGATAGTGGGAGAACCGTTTGGAAGGCAAAGTGGTTTAGAAAGTTTACCTTCTAAAGGAGAAGCAATAGCTGAACTTAAAAGAAATGGGACAGAGTGAAATTTGTAGGTACAAAAGAAAAAAAAAAAAAAAGCTTAAACAATACAATATGCTTGGTCTCCAAAGAATTCCTTTATGTATGCCTAGCAAGATGTTTGCCACTTTCCCCCCACCCCCCTAATGGTGATCCTTCACCTCTCTTTGTCATGCATCAAGAGCTTTTTAAAAGGAGATTGCTCTCAAAGTAACAATAGGTATCCATTGTTCAATCACCACCCAACCATAATAGATGTTGGTTCCATTTATGGACTCCTCTAGAAAAATTACATTCTCTCTATTGGAAATATGTCCCATAAAGAAATTGGGATGACTTTCACTACCATTATGGAATGTACTTCATGAGTTAATCGCTAAACTGGGTTATAAATCCACAAAGCCATTGATAAGTGTATCAAAATATAATTAAACGATTAGGGGACAACATTGTCCCTGGCTTATGCACACATTAAATGCTGCTTAAAGATGAATTCAGAGCTGTGAATGGTAAGGAACAATACTGCAAAGGGTGTTTATGTCTAATTAACACGCTATCCTAACCAGCAGCCTAGAAAAAACTGGACCAAGGGTAGAGAATGTATATTTATCCAGCCATCATATTAGCAATTTTGCTTTCCCATTCAAGTATCTTCAGGAAATAAGTCACCACATTTGCTTACCCCACTGTTCACTTCACATGACGTAGCCAGAGGCAGAATGGGACAGGAAGAGCCATAAATATCAGTTAAACTTGACTATTATCAAGTAAATATTTGATGGATGACATTTTTTTAAAAATCAAGGATTTCTCTATTACACTGCAATTTCCCACTTTCCACAAATGTTCCCAGAATGGGCATTTTCTTTTCTGGCTGGGATCTTCAGCTATGACCTGTATGTCATTAAGATCTTGTGTATCCATTTGGAGTAGAAGGCCACCTTGACAAAAATCCCAGGCCGTTTGGGAACTGCACATCCTCGCCCGGGGATGATCACTCCCATGACTATTTTAATTCTATTCTGTTCGCAGACCAGTGGACCACCATAATCCCGCTAGAAAAAGAAAAACAGAAAATCGATCACACATACATGTTTATAGAAGAGAGAACAAGAGAAGAAAAGTACCCCAGACATGCCTTATAAAACAAGGAAGGACCAATGTACTTTTTACAGTATCATGAGAATGTTTGATGGCAAATTAAACTTGATAGACTAAAATGAATAACAAATCAATGGCAATAGGTCATCTCTTCAAAGAGACTTCTTATAGATTCAGAATGCAAATATTAGCCTGAATCTCTTTTGCTTCACTTCTAATCTGATCTGGGCTGGGGGCAGTGGTAGCTAAATTAACTATATACAAATTTATCTTATACAAATGTTGTATCTTCTCTTCTTCTGATGGAAGTCAGAAGGTCTAAAACTTTCTAAATTAATGCCTTCATTGGTGACTTGACATGAAAAATAAATTCTACTTATTTAAACATAAAAGAAGTTATTCTACAGATTTTTAACATAGTTATGTATACAGAAAATTCCATATGGGGTCGTGATTAGAGGAACTGAGGGCAGCCAGGTTAAAAGCTCCAGTTAGCTACTGGGTGAACTGGAACCTAGCTCAGTCTCTCACTGTTTTGAGGATTAAATGGTCTGCTGGAGGAATGGATATCCATCAAGAAGTACCTCACAAGTTCCACTGCCAATGCTCTCAGCTCGAGCACACATTTCTGATTCTTTCAGGACTACGTTTCCTCCAAAATCCTGATTGCAGCGCTCATTCCCCATAATGATCATATTTGCTTCTTGAAGTCGCCCATCAAAGGTTCTTGCTGAAATTTTGAAGAGAAATGACTGTGTAAGAAACTGCAATGCTCAGTTCCCAATCAAAGCAACTCCCATTGAAACCAATGTAGGTTTGAAGAAAAGTTCATTTATTGAGAAGTAGTGTACAGTTCTAGAGCATTGCTGAAACTAAAGCCTGCATGCACCAAAAGTTGATTTTATCCCCTTCCCAGTGCACCTCCCCACTACTGTCTCTCAGCCCCTCTTGCACATGTTCACGGTTCTCTCCCGGTCTCACGTTGGCACGACCTTGGGCATTCCTGAGAACCAGATAACAGTCCAACTGCGCCTAATAGTTCACCTTCCAACCTTCCCCCCCACCCTTTCCTTTGTAATGGCAGAAATGAACCAAGCAAACTAGCAAGCCGGTTGATTGATTGTGAGGATTCTGACAGACTGTTCTTTACCCCATCTCATTGATTGATTGATTGATTGATTGATTGATTGATTGATTGATTATTTGCCATCAAGTTGGTATCAACTTTTAGTGACCGCATAGAAAGATATTCTCCATGACAAACTGTCAACATCTCCAAAAGACATACTTTCCCTTAAACACACCCTACTTCCACCCATGAAAATGTCATTTACACTGGTCCAATTAAACCAAGAGTTAGTTCAAATAATGATACAAATATTTCATTGCAAAATACTTACGTGATCTGAAGAGAAACCATTCTATGCAGCTTTCATAGATTTTAAAGGAGCTTTTAATTTGATTTCTAGGTCCAACCAGTGGCACAAATTACAAAATTCTTCTATAGACAGAAGGCTATTATTACTAATCTATGATAAAACCACCATAAAAGTTAGATGTAGTTCCCAGGGATCTCATTGACACTATACCAATGAGATCCCTGTTAATAGGATCTCATCATCCACCAAAACTAGCAGAGAAACATTTCAATCCTATTATATTTTGGATGACAAAGTGTTACTTTCCCAGACTCTGGGAAGGGCACTGCAGGCATTGGCCAGTCATTCTGTTTCTGGAACTCAGGATATTAACTCAACAAGACCAAGGTGGTCACCTTTGCGAAATGCTCTAAATGACTTTAAATCATCATCCTAATTGAGCAGCTTAATAATTTATATACCTAGGCACAGTTTTCCATGCCATGGCTTCAAGTAGACTACATAGAGAATATATTGTAGAAAACATCCAGAGAGCTGCTGCAGCTTTGCAGTAATTTTTTTGAATTTTAATAAAGGGACTTTATTCATCCCAGCTGCACTCTGAAGGTACTCAGTTAAAGTTAGAGCACTGCTGTTATTTGGTGCCCAGTTAGGCCCTATCATTCAGAGCAAATTTCTTAGGCACATACTTCAAGTCCACTGGACTGTCTCAAATATATTTTTCACCATAAGCCTGGCATCAGCAGGATTGAAACCAACACTTGGTTATACATTTTAACACACTGGATCAAAATATACTTTACCCTTGTAGGTCCAACCTCTTTATTGATTACTTTGGCCCAAAGCAATAGACAAAATGTTGGAACTCCTTGGATTGTCATTAACCCAACTTGGCACATTCAGGTACAAGCATGCAATAGTAATATTGAGGCAGTGGATTGAGGACACTGATATTCAGGTACACCTGGTATCTCTTCCCAAGGATATATTCCTGGCCAGATCATTCATCCTCCTTAGATCTGCTAGATACCTAGGTCAGATTAGAATCCTTAAACAGTGAACGGCATTCTCCTTGACTCAACCTGATGCCCTTCCTACTGCGGTCATAGAAGGGAGATACAAACGTATCCCATTTAGGCGAAGGTTTTGCCCGTGCAGCAAAGGGTCCATCAGAACTGTTAAACATGCTTGATTAAATTGCCTATTTTATGCTGCCACATGGTCAGACTTGATAACTCCACATTTCAGCAAATTTCCCAGTAGTTCTAATCAATTTCACTTACAGTTTTTACTATTCACAACCCCATTACTCTAAACGAAGCTGCATTCTGCTACATCATATGCAAAATACATAAAATTGCATATGATATAGATATGCAAAATGTGCAGTTTATATGATATATATAACCTGTTTTATGCCATTTAGTTTCATTATGTACTAGTCTTTAACCATAATAAAGATTTCTTCTTCTTCTACATTTCATTGCCTTTCTTGAAAAAGGGAGTGGATTTAAGTTATATTTTATTTGGAGCCTGTTTAAAACCATGTCTATAAAAGCTATCCCCATATACACAATTTCACTGAAACAATTTTATCCAGTCCTGGAAAATCAACCTCATTAACCTACTATGAAAAATTAGTTACCATTCTGGCTCAACATTTAGGAGAATATTTTTTCTGGATTGTACACTGTACAAAAGTATAACCAGTAGCGCTTTTCCTGCTGGGTTTAATTAGCTGAAATCATAAAATAAATTTCATGATGCACACAGTACATTGTAATAATATAATATATCTTAGCAGGGTCCCTGGTAAATTATGCTATGAATGTGCTATGTTTATTATCTGTCTGTCTCTATTCCTCTGTCTCCAGCATTAGGTGCATTGAAAGTGCAGTGTGGACAAATGAAGGGCCCTACATTGGTCCCTGAATGTCTTTTTATACTGTTCTGTCCATCATAGCTGAAAATTAGCAATGATAAACTTAGCAAGCCTTGTAATATGGAAGGAAGGAAGGAAGGAAGGAAGGAAGGAAGGAAGGAAGG